CGTCAGCGTGAAGGACTAGAGTTTGATATTGCTGCCACCCGGGAATTCCTCGAGGAGCAGCAGAGAACTATCAAGCTACTTCATGGGGAAATTGTACATACTTGGTGAATAGATAGAAACAACATATCTAGTTAAATAATACAGTGATTAGCGATTGCGGTTTCACCCCTGCAAGCAGCATTCTAAAAGTTCCATTATTATGAGACTGAAGATTGGCCAATCATGTTCATTGCTCTGCAGCTGACTGCTCGCGCTAAGCTATGTACAGAAGGTGGGGCTATTCAAAATCGTTGCGCAGCTGCCTCCAGAGGTGAAGCCGTAATCACTAATTACTGTATGCGCGTGTCTCTCTACTGTCAGTTTTCCCATGACTCCTGAACTATTCAATGCTCTTAAGGCTAATCACGACTACTTTCTGCACGGATCATAGGTGTTCTATGAGTGCTTGCTCATAGCTTACATCAACTAGCTCTAGGTGGCTAATATCCCTATCATCACAGATAAGCAGTGGTCATGCTCTTCCTATCATATCACTCATTTCTCTCTCTTTGTCATCTGTTAACATGTTGCAGTGGGGCATGACGAGTATCTCCTGTAGTGGACTCAGCGTCTGCTAGAGCTTTAAGATAGTCACTAGTTAGCCGTTAGGTTATTGGTGGTTTCTAGAAGAAATTATTGGCACTAACTATGACGCTTTATCAATTACAGTCACTAACCAGCGATTGTGGCTTCACCCTTCCGCGCAGTTGGGCAGCGGTTTCGAACAGCCCCACCTTGCATACAGAGCTTAGCGTGAGAAGTCAGCTTTGGAACAACCGATACGGTTTGTCAATTCTAGATTTTATGATGACTGGAATTTTGGAATGCTGCTTGCGGAGGCGAAGCCGCGATCGCTAGTAATGACTGTACTTACCTTGTTCCATAGGACGCGCCACGCAATTGTTCGCTCGGGATCCGTTGGTTGAGAGGCGTAAGCTGCTTACGGGCAAACAAACACGCTACTAGTGCGGCACAGCTCACATCGTCCGCTGGGCCGACGTAATTATTCTTCAAAGTGGTTACGATCGTGATCCAGTCATATTGCACTCGGCCTTAGTTGCAACGCGGGGCGGTTGTAGTAGCCTTGTGGCCCTCTCTCTGTAGTTTTTGCACCACAGTAGCTATTGTTTATATATGTAACATAGCATAATTCTTTTCTCCTTGTTCGAATACGGCTTTTTTGGTTCATAAACTCCTGTTTTAAATATATTTATCTCATTACATATATCGCGTTGTGGTGTTTTCTTCTGTTTTAATTTTCAAAACCCAAGACCCAAAGAGTATCACGACATTGCTCTCACTACAAGATTAACAATCTCTCTTTTTATACACGAGCCTATCAAGCGAAATCATACCAAGCCAAGCGGGAATATCCGGCCTGACTTGGCTTGGTCAAGTATATTAAATTTCGGCTTAACTAACTTAGCTTGACTGGATCTATGTATCGCCCTGGCTTCACTTGATGAGCTTGGCCCGGCTTCATTGATGACAGTTCTGGTTCTGATTGGCTGCTCTAACGCAGTAAATGGCAAGCTACAAGGCGCTCCGTCCTGCTATGCTGTACGGTGACACATAGTACATAGCGTCCCTGTGTCTGATGGCTACCACAAAGAAACCTTCCATGCACGAATTGAGCGACTGTAAATAAATACGGATACTTTGTGCTGAATGTTTGAAGTGGTCTTTTGATGAACGCGCTCAATATCTGCATGTTTAGGCAGGATTCCGCACTGCGCGTGGTGTTACTTCGTTAGCTGAATCTAGCTAAAACTATTAACTACATTAATCTCAAACAGATGACGAAACTTGAAATGCTATTTCGATAACGCCTGCGATCAAAACTTCAATTGATCTGTGCTAAGAAGAAGACAATCACGCGCTGGTCGGGAAATGACATTCAACATAGTTATTTTACAGCTAATACGGACTCTCCTACTTTGTTTTATTCTTAGCTTCAGAAACCATTGGCTATATCACTGACTCAGCCAGCCTTTCGACATGCTCTCAGCGCCTAGATATCAGTCAGATTACATCAAAATTGATCGGTGTGGCATGTCAGCAGCATGTCATACCCAATACGATACGCCTTGTCCTATCTCCCACTGTTTCTGTCCACCCAAGTGAATGTTTCTCGATGGTGGGATATGGACGGTACAATAAACTCGCCGAACCCTTCTCTCTACTAGCTGCCGAACGCACCTTTGTGAAATAGAATTGTACTTACCATGGTCCTCCTGGTACCCATTGCTGTTTTCCTCCTAGCCATCACTGTCCTGCACGTCCTAACAAAGCTTTGGCTGAACAGATATGTCCGAGCTCTACCGCCAGGGCCCAGAGGACTCCCGATCCTGGGAAACGTCAGCGACATGCCCAAGCCGGGTGTGCTCGAATGCCACCACTGGTTCGAGCACAAGAAAAAGTACGGGCCTATCTCTTCTGTGACTGTCATGGGCCAAACCATAGTCATAATCAACGACGCT